ATTTTTAACCATCATATAATTCTGAATTATTAAAATATTATTGTTCCAAGTAATTACTTCTATGTATAATTAGTTTATTCTGTTATATAAAATAATTAATATATAATGAATAATGATTATTAAATTTTATATTTCTTGTAAATGATCCTTTGAAGTGTATTGTAAAATTATAATGACCTTCAGAGACCAAAGTAGAAGTACCTATAGTAGTATAGTTGTGTAGTAGTAGTAGTAGTAGTAGTACTGTTGTTGTAGTAGTAAATAATATTATTATGATTATTCTCTATATAATATATCTCCGAGTGGATGTTTTTAGTTCATTTACCGTCTACTCACGTATTGGTTCAGACACCTTAGATATCAGCTTTACCTGTAGTAGGTAATAGGCTATTGGTTAACTAATTTTCAAAATACAAATATGTGGCACTTTAGCTTGTGCTTAGTAAGTAACCATTTTTACATACATAAACATTTTTCTTTCTAAAATTCTTTTGGTTTATTAAAAATAAAAATGTAACACTCTTCACTCTATAGATATGTATCACGGTCGGCGTTTCTGCACAAATATCAAATGTCGATCAAGCCATGAAAAATCAACAAGTTGTACCTCACGTAATTCCAGATGCTCCAAAAGAAATTATACAAGTAAACGAATAAAAAAACATAACATACCTACAAAAWAATTATTTTAAATCGAAAACATTAAAACCATATTTTAGGTAAATTATTTGAGTGGCGCGGAAGCATTACTTGGCAATGAACTTACACCTACTCAAGTGAAAGACCAACCGTCAGTTAGTTGGAATGCTGACCCTAGTTCATTTTACACGCTATGTTTGACCGGTATACATTGAATAATTTTATTTTAACATATTATACTAAGATATTTTTAGTTACTATTATTTTAAATTGTTGCTTTCAGATCCTGATGCTCCGAGTCGCGCTGAACCTACAATAAGAGAATGGCGTCATTGGTTGGTGGGAAACATACCCGGTGGAAATGTGAACATGGGAGAAACACTTACCGGATACATAGGTTCTGGACCTCCACCAAAAACAGGTATTATATAATGATTAATGAATCTATTTTATATATAGATTTATGACTAGGTACCATAAGTGTCCAAGTAACTGTTAGGTCACGAATAAGAAGRTGTTTTATTCTTTTATTATATATGATTCTATAATGTTCATGGATGCGATCAGTGATGTCTATTTTTTATCCTTCTTATTGGCTTCAGAATGAATCATAATATTATGTCGATTATTATTGAGCCATAATTTAATTACATTTGATGTTGATTAGTCACTCAAAGTTGGCACGTTAACTTTAAAGTAAATGAGTATCTTAATTATTCTTTAATATTCTATTATCTGGTGACTAGATCTTTCWTTAACCGTTTTCATAACGCCTAACTATGAAATTCGACTTCTGTGTCAGCATTGGTCAYAGCTTTATAGTTTGAATGATAGAAATRTAWACGAGTCTAAAACTTACAAACATATTTTAGTTTTTATTTAAATCTATTTGTAATGAGTTTTATCGTAGCTTATTTTAATCTTTTATTCTYTGTTAAATTTGTTTACCTACTCACAATCATAATTAAAATAATAAATAATGAACTAATTAATTTTTAATTAAATCAGTATTCACAAACAATATTGCTCGTTTAAATATATACACTAAGCTACAATTTTAAAAAATCACAATATTTTCGTTTGTGTGTTTTAAATGAATATTAATAATTTACAATACACTCAATGTACAAATTATAGTAATTATACACACTTTTTCTTTTCAAAAATTTAATTTTGTACTTTACGGTTGTACAAGGAGCCTTGGCAGCTAATACCTCGATGTAGGTACACCTTAGGTAGCATGTGCGCATTTTTATTTTTCGTAGYGCACATTTGAGATTTTTGTGCACCAAATGTATCATAATAATGTATCATCAGAAATAGCCGCCGAGTACAACAATTGAAAGAAATAAAAAAAAATGATAATGATTATGATTTTCCAGGATTACATCGATACGTGTTTTTAGTATACAAACAACCATGCAAATTATCATTCGATGAGCCGCGTGAAAGCAATAGGTAATACATCATATGATATTTAACATTAATGTAATTGACTATATACAGGGCCGGCTATAGACAAAATGTATCATAGGCGAAATCAAGATTTGCAACCCTTTCGTTTTTGTAGTCTAAGCATCAACATTTTACCCTGAATACGGCGCTGCCTATTATGCCTATCACCAAAGGAATGCCACCCCTAGGCATAGTCCTGTGTCACCTGTGCCTTCCGCCGGGCCTGTATATATAAATGCCTATATGCCCTATAATAATGATACCAATCAATAAACCTAATGTGTATTTTTTACTGTACTCATTTCTTATTTCTTATTTATTCTATTATATAGATCTATCGAACATCGTGAAAAATTTTCAATCAATAAATTTGCATTGAAGTACAATTTAGGAACACCCGTGGCTGGTAATTTTTATCTAGCCCAATACGACGATTATGTTCGAATTCTATACCAACAATTTGGAATTAATCTATGATCTATCTTAATTCAACAATAAGTAGCAAAAATAGTAACTCTATATTATTTAAGTGGTCACAAAAAAAAAAAAATTATACAGAAAATAATAATATTTAAGCGACTATTTGAGTTTCAAAGTCTATGGTATTTTATATATATAATATGTAAATTCGTAAAATAAAAATTAC